AGAATTTGAACCTGGACAAGAAGTTTTGTTGTATAATACAAGATTGAAATTAATTTTCGAAAAACTTAAGCCTATGTGGTTAGGGTCATTTAATGTTATAAAAGTCTGCCCATATGAAGTTGTGGATATTGAAGATCCAACAAACAGAATAATATTTAAAGTTAATGGACATAAGTTAAAACCTTATTTTGATGGGTGCAGACCTATTTTTAAAAAGGTTTTAATGTTGGGTCACTCAGAGTAAAGACTCAGAACGTTGGGCTAATGACGTTAAACCAAGCGCTCTGTGGGAGGCAACCCATAGATATTTTTGTAATTGTTTCAAACTTATTTTTACATAATATAAGATCTTTTGATTAAATTATATGTGCTTTGGAGACTTACATGTTAAGAAAAATATATAAAAACATTTTAGTTATTGAATATTATGGAAGGTGTGAGAGTTATTTGGACCTTAGGTGAAGCGGTGCAAAAGAGTGCATTGGCGCCTAAGCTCCACTTTTCAGAAAGCCCGGTTCCTAAGCGCCAAAATCAGATGCCTAGGCGCTGCAGTTAGAAAAACCACCCTAGAAACTTCTTTTGACAATTTTTGACCTAATTTTCTCTATGTAACTCCTAAAACCTGTCATTTTGAGTTAAATTAATTTAATTGAGAGGGAGAGGATCCACTATTCTTGTTCTTATGTCTTCTCACTTCAAGGAAACTTCCAAATATAAGATTTTAAAATGAGGAAGTTCATTAGTTTTGATGCACAGATGTTGCACGATAAGATTCTTATGAAGAAGATGTTGATCAAGAAAAGTGGTTTTATGAACCGAGGATTCAATACTCCTGGTACTATTGTGGAAGAAATCATTGTGCAAAGGTGATGGGAAGTACTATACTACACAACTGCGACTGTAGTAATTCTTGTCATAAAGAATTTTATGCAAATCATCATGGGATTAATCAAGGAGTTGTCTATGTTCGAGGCAGTTGGGTACCTTTTACTCCTTTAAGAATCAATGATTTGTTCTTGTCGAGAATGTTCTGATTTGTCATTATGTCAGCTTTTCCCCTACAAGAGACAATAAAAATGAAGTCTTTTGATTCTTGACGGATGAAGATGGAACTTGGGAGATAAGAAATCACAAAAATGTAAGTTTTCCTTCTTCATTATTAAATTTTGTGTCAATGTCGTGGCATATCTTTATTTCGGCAAAATTGCTCCCTCTACAAAAATCAGTAGAGTGATGAAGGAAAGTGCTATATTGAATTATTGTATTCAAACTTGAAGACCTATTGATGTGGGTGTTTTAATAGTAAAATTTATTCTTGGTTTGATTTTGAAAATATCTACTCATTGTCATGGACATCCGTCCACAATATTTTTGCTTTGTAGCAAATCACAAGTTCCACATGAAAATTAGGAAAAATTGCTTCTTTCTTGGAAGCCCATGGACCAAATGTTAAACTGTGACTACTTAGAAAATGAAGAAGTGGACTACAAAAATGTTCCTATGGATCAATCATCTCAAAATTCATCAACTTTACAACCCCGATTTTTGAATAGTTCATAAGTTATTTTGAAGAAGATTAAGAAGTTGAAGAAAGAGATGATTAATATTCTGAATGCGATTAGCAGCATTTCTAATCAGTTTGACCACCTGAACTGGAGAATTAAAGAGCAATTTGATCACACTGGCTTATGGAAGAGGCTACGGTGTGAATGTATAAGAAAAATGTTTGGATCGAAGAAGACTCGACTGACGAATTTCCTCACCGTCCTTTGTTGTTGTATGACATCAAAGTAATCATTGTCATCATCTTAAAGAATAGTTCACAATTACTTAAGATATATTTGGTTATACTTTTATTTTCTTATATTTTTTTGTGCTCCTTATTTTATTGGCATAGCATGTCATGCCACCTATTATAAATTTTAGACTATTATATTGCATGGCCATTTTATATTATAGGTCTGCTTATTCTTATATCATATAATACTAGCCACACTTACCCTTTTATCATTTACTCGGGCACAAATTAGCCTCTATTGACCTAATTTGCCACTTGTTAACCATCATCAGAAAACTTGAACTTCATATCACTGTTTTGACATACCAAATCATTTTTCTATTGTCATCTCACCATCCCTATGTCCAAGCTAGCCTTTTCTCTCTCGCCTCTTTCCATGTTTTAACATGGTAATGCTAAAACAACTTAAGATAATGATATCATGCATTAGAAACACATTGAAACCCATAAACAACTGCTTGAACATTTCAGAATATCTCCCAAATTAGTCCTACTCCTCTTCCATTTCCTGGAACATCCCTCCCTTTAGCGTTTGAATCATCACTTTCTCTAATTTATAAATATTATTGTCTTTTCCTATATTTCATCTTTATGATATTGAAAAAAAAATTGCCTCCTAAATTATGTGCTCTCTTTTGTGTATTTAATCACCCAAAGTGAAGAATTATATGTGAGATTCTCAAAATAATTTCTTCATTGTAATGTCATGCAAATAACACTACAATTTTAGATAAAATTATAATTTAGTTACAACTTAACCTAATAGCTCCTTAAAACAAATAAACTCTCCAATGGATGATATTTCCTCTCTAATTAACACATTACATCAAAATAAAATGAAGAGACGAAAGCAACTGCCTTGGATTAGCCAACAAAAGAAAATCAATCAAAACTATAGACTAAGAGTTATATAAATATATGAATCAATACTTCTACAAATGGTAGTTTTTGTTTAGGGTTTTATAGTGATCTTTGAAAAGTTTAGAGTTTTTATGATTTTTTTCCTTAGAAAAAAAAAACATGCTAAGTTAAAAAAAATTTGTTTGCCTAAAAACATGAAAAAAAGAAGTATTACTCAATTTTAGTGTTTTAAATATTTTTTGAAATCTATTTTAAAATAAACCAATAAAGAACAAATAAAAAAGAGTGAATAAACATAAGTTATGTTTCTTTCCGTATTTTTTAAAAATAAAAATATAAAATATAAAACATAAAACATTTTCAAACAGCTCCTAAGCTATTTAAAATATTAAATTAATCATATAAAATTAAAATTAATTCATCATATTATAGAATTTGGAATACATAATATTTTTAATTTAAGAAAAAAACAATATTCATTTCAATCATTCAATCACTTGCACTAGTGGCATAGTACCTTTTTTAAATTAGTATATAATGATACTTTAAATAAAAAAGCTTATCAGATAATCATCTGCTTTGGTCAACACAGCAATGTAATTGATTTTATGTCTAGGTTTTCTTACTTATGGGGGCAATCAACAAAGAAATTACCATTATTTTAACAGGCTATATATATAAAAATGTTACAACAAATATAATAACAATGTGAAGCACTCAACCAGTCTTATTGCCATCACTGATCACATTATATGCTCCATGTTTTTTTTACTTTATTCATTGTGGTTTATGTGACATAAATTATTTTTTTACTTGGCTTTTCTTATTTGTGGGGGCATCCACAACATGCTAGCCATCATATAAAAGAATAAGAGTTGTTTATATTGCTAAATTTCTTCAATTTCTTTATTCATAATTATTTTTAAAATTTTATATATGGTCACTATTTATTTTAAATTTTGATTTTAGTTTCACTATTTAATTAGTTCCATCATTAATGAAATAATTTCACTTTTTATTCAAAATATTTTTATTTGTGGTGACAACCAACAATTACAGAGACTCTCAAAATGGAAAAAATGTAGGTAAATGCTAAAGGTTATGATATGTGATGGTGTTGACCTCACTTTTATGAGTACTCACCCCACCTACTTGCACATGACCCTAGGCAAGGGTTGTGCTTTCATGGACCTCATCAATGCTAGCCCAAGTCCCCAACCCTTGGTTGAATGGGTCTAAGATTTTGACCAGGTGAGGAACCCAAATTGACCAGTAGTGGCTCGACATGCCCTAGGTCACCTAAACTAACCCAAAACCCTAGGAACCACTTTGACCATGATATCTACTTGGGAGAGGGGTCTACCTAAATGGATCCCCAGCCTCACCAAAGGCCTCCCTAACCTACAAAACCCTAAAAATTACCTTGAACCCTAATGTGCCCTTTTTGAACTCAAAATTTGATTGCACCTTGGGATGGTCAAAACTAATTAGGCTTAACCCTAGTTTAGCCAAATTTTGACCAATTGACCACCTTGCCCAACCATTGGGCCTCACACCATGTGATGAGCTCAATTTCCATGGGGTCAGCCCCCATAATTTAATTTAATTAATTAAGTAATTAAAAGGATATTTAAATCCTCTTAGGACTTGAGCTAAGAAGAAAACAAAACCCAATTAGCCTAGGTCCAACCCTAAGGAAAAACCCAACCCATGGCCCATGGCCCATTGTTAATGGGTCACCCATGACCCAATAGACACCTAGCATGATATTTGGGTGACACACCAAGCCAACTCAACCTAAATCCACCCTTAATTGTTGGCTTAACACGATTCATCATGGCTCATCATGAGGGAGAGACAAATGTCACCATAGATGTCACCTAGCCCAAGCCACCTTGGACCAACCCTTGATGAATCAAACCCAATCATCTTTAACCTGTGTTATCCACCTAAGAGGCCTCCAATCAGCTTAGAACCCTCTCCCATGCCTCCCCCATCTCCATGCTCATCACCATGGTCAAGCCACCATGGAAACTTACAAAGTCTCCCTCCACAACCCAAAATCCTCTCAATTTCCTCTTAAAACTCTCTAAGGAGCCACCCAACCATTGCCAATCATCTTAGAGTTCTCCCATGGCCTCTCATGGCCTAAGAAAGGAATAATTTAATCATTGTTTGATTTACTATCCATATGTTAATAATCTCATTTCTGCCGATCTCAACTAAGATATCAAACTTGAATCCATATAACATCATGAATCTAAGGGGTTAAAAAAAATGAGTAAATTTGGCCTTCATTTGAATAACTGTAAGAATAACGCAAGTAAACATGCAATGAGGGTAAAAAAAGGTTGGCTCAACTAAGCAACGCAGAATGCCATAAATCTAAAATTTACTAATTACAGCATGCTGTACATTAAAGATGGGAATTATATAGGCTGACTAGGTGAGAAATGACATCGTTAAGGCACGAAATATGTGCAGAAAATTCTTCCATGAATTCCTTAGAATCGGGTTGCAAAAGAGCATTTTTCATTATCTTCAAACCATTCTGCAGAAGATCCATTCCTTCACAAATTCCATCTGGAAGCTGTCTTCTCTTTTTCCTTGCGCGCTTTCCAGGACAGTTGGTCTCTACAGTTTGCATTGCTGGGACGTCTTGCAAGATATTTGATATTTTTGTTAATTTTATAAGAGCAATGCCTTCATTGAAGAGAAAACTTAGCTGTTCTTTACATGGAGAAGCCTCACATAAAGCCCCTTCTTTCTCAAGAAATCCTTTCAGCTCATTCATGAAAATATCATAGTTTGCCTCCCTCCCAGTAGTAAACTCAAATGAAAGTGCTGCATTAGAGGGAACAAATCTCCAAAGTTGTGTACAGGAAGTACGAGCTGCGAAATATCCAAATGCTGCAATAGCCAAATGAACAAATGCCCAGTGTCTCTCTCTAAGCAGAAAATGGTAAAGGTGCCAAATTGCAGCAGAAAGTGGATTTTCAGCATCTTCTTCAATTTGTATATGACAAAGACAGGCCATGAAGGAAGCAAAATAAGGCTGGCATTGAGATAATGAAGCGTCAGATTCAACAAATAGCTTTTGCAGCTCCAAAATAATTTCTCTCATTTCAACATAGCCATAGAGATGTTTTGCAATTGAGAATAATTCTAATATTGCACCCAGAAGTTTAGCATATTGGTTTTTCATCCCTTGTCCAGCTTTTCTATACTTTTGAATCACAGTAGTTGTGAACTTCAGGAGCTGGGAGCTGACCTTTCCATCAATAGCATCTGAACTTTTAATATGCCTGCAATACAAAAAACTGTACAATGTGAAATGATCCAGAAATGATGAAAAAAAAATAGCATTTTCTTCAAACGGTATTAAGTTACCTTGAACATATAGCAGATGAAACTGCAAGGATAGGCAACCCCAGCAAGCCGGAATTGCAAGATAGAGAAGCAGCAGCATCCAGTTCAAGTTCCTTGGAGTTTTTCTCTATAAAGGCAACAAAAGCAGATATAATCTTCCTAGTGGCCACTATTTTTAGTTTTTCAGATAAGGAATCCAATGGGAATCCCTCAATCAATAGTGCCATATACATGACAGATGATAAATCCGAGTTTTCCTCACTGACTATGGTGATATAAACTTGATCTACAGTGGCAGTTGTTGTGTAAGAAAGAAGGTAGGATATTGATCTAGCCATCTTCCTTAGAGGAGATGATGGTGAAAGAGAATGATCAGATGAGGCAACTGTCCTCAGCAGCAGACACAATTTCTCAAAAATTTGGCTCACCTTGTCATTTTCAGCGTGACAAATAAAAAAACACAGAAGCTCCTTAACAATCTCCAAACAAAGAAAGTGGGAATGAAAAAGATTCTGAAGTAGAAAGATTTCAATCTCAATCCATATGAGCTTTGATGAAGCTGTCACAATCATGAAGCTTTTCAGTATAGTTGAGACAAATGAGAACATGGGTTGCCAAACTACCCCAGTGGAAGGTCCCGAGGCATTAAGTACAGGTATTTGCAGACCAAGTACTGAAGAGAATACATCTGCATGTGTCAAAATAGACATAAGAACATCGAGCTTTCGGGAGATTTGTAGTATTATTTCTTCTCTCAGTGATGAAGAGGCCTTGAGGAGATTCAAAGACAAATAAAATTTTCCTAGCAGTAGAGATTCAGCTCCTGGCATAGCATCACAGCTTACATTAAAAACACCGTCCAAGGAAGCTGGCAATGAAGCTGTATAAATATTCCTATCTTGATATGGCGTGCTAGGATTTATTTCATGTGGAAATAGCCATTCCAAAATCTGCACTTTGGATTGAATTTTCACCTCAGCTGAATTTAGCAGCGTATGCAGTAATAGAAAGGATGTTGGTTCCACTAATTCTGCTATTGCCTCACTAACGGCTTTGAGATGAATTTCTTTACTTAGAATAATACATAGAGAAGAGATCAACACCACACACCTCACTACTTCGCTGCATATGTTCATGGCATTGCATGGATATTCAGATGTGATCCGGACAGAATTAATCAAATAAAACTTTATTGGTAAAAATGTTCGTTTTGCCTCAGTTAAGGCAGCGCTGACCGAGCTTGATGATGACCATGCATCAGCAGCATACCTCAAGGACTCGACAGTCAATGAGATGAGAGTTAGAATTATATTTTCCACATTTACTTTCTCAGCCAACACACTTTTATCCAGCTGCAATAAGCAAACAACGCCTTTCCAGGAAATGTTTAGAATAGTTACAAAACTCCCACCACCAGAAGCAGCGAAGGTTCCTATATTAAATAAGTTTTCAATAGTGCAGACTGTTATGCTAATGATATGACAGGCATAATCCTCCACTTTGCCAGTAAACAGTCCGTCGTCGCTGACAACATTTACCTCAGGAACCTTGCTTCTGATAACTTGATAATATGCTCTGCAGAGCTTTACTGCAGCATCCAGAACAATTTGCCCCAGTTTCAGAGCTTCTGAAGCAATTAAATCAATCCTCTGCATAATATATAGGTTAAGCATGCAGTGTTAAAAGAAAAAGAATTCAAAAAATCGGACAGCTTTGGTTGGTTTCAAAAGTGATAACAAGACTAGAGGATAGCAAGTTCTCCATTGGTTTAATACTGGTAAAATGACCGACTTCTATGCATGTTACAAAGAGCTTGGTCATTCACCATGAAGAAAATGAAAAATGAGCCCGAGTAGCCAATTGAAATCATGAACATGATGGGCATATTTTAATGTAACAGCAAGCCATGATGAGAAAACAAGGCATAATCCAACATGCAACTGAAATGGTGGAACAGAACATGGAGAAGGATTCACCAAATACAGATGCAACATTACGTTAGCCAAACTTGGATCAATACCATGTTTACTTTTGTATCAATATTATTTCATGTCTAGCTAATATGTACCTACACTATTCCAGTTGTAACTGTGGTGAATGTCATAAAATTCCATTCAAGCTAACTTTTTATGCACATTTGTTTCTCTGTCCATGCTTTATCATGATGCAACAAGTTAGTGGAATAAGCTGTTTAAGATTAGTACCTTCAACTCAAGAATCAAGTCCTTCGTAAGGCTTAATATTTCAAAGATGAAGTTTTCAACGATAAGCATGTCCACCTTCTCCCCAAAAGGAAGAGATTTTGTCATAGATGAAATAACAGCAGAAGAGAGACTCAAAGAATCCAGGATTAGCTGCCAAAACAATATACAAATTAGTCAAAAAAATCACCAGTGTGTTATTCTGCATAAGGAGAGAGCCAAACGATTCAAGGAAAAAGACTGAATTAATAATATAAACCTTACAACGGCCATTATCACAGCCATTACCATTGGTCGTATCCTAACTTTATGGGTGGGTTTTATAAAACTTCACGCCCAATTAATTTTTTGACCACTTTTTGATTTGTTAAATTTGTTATGCAGAAACCATTTTGAATGACTTCTATCTGTTTCACAATTAGTATAAATAATTCCATCAAATTTTCACAATAGCTTTATCTACCCAACTTATTGGCGAGTAACCTATCCTCTTACATAAAGCCCAACTCATTGAAGCTTATTCTCTAATATCCGATCTTTAATATGTGTTATGACATCGAGCTGCTGCTAAGGCTAAACCGGCGCAGGTTCAACAAGGGGACTGCCGGTTCAGTAGGGAGGCTGAACTGTTTGGGCTGGAAAGGCTGCCGCCTTCTTCCTTACACAATCACAACACCCCTCCCCCAAACCTCGCCTTTCCTGTATATTCACGGCTATCCTTAGGCTGTGACCAGTACCCATGCCTGCTACCAATTTATGCCGCTAACCCCCTGATCTGCTCCCACCTACAACAGCAAGCCCTCCACCCTGTGAACTACTACCCATCCATCACCGCCATCTCACATAGTTGCCCATCAGCTGCCCGCCGAGCCCTAGTCGGAGGATAGTATCATGTCGTATTTTCTTTTTCTGTTTTGAGTCGTGTTGTAACTCCGCTGCTTTTGAGCAATAAGATTCCACTTCCCTACTGGATTTTGGGTTAACTCCGGTGTTTGAATAATGCGTTGAGCGAGCGTTTCTCTGTCGCACCCTAACGCAGATCCCGAATTCCTTAAGGGCGAGCGAAGCGGAGAGGTCCCAGCGTCCCACGTATGAGTATCGTGTTAGGGTAATATTTTCCTCCTATGCCCCTCGCTCGCTCTCCCCTTCTACTCTGGCTCTCCCTTTCTTCCTTCCTCCTTCTGCAACTTCTCTCGCGGAGATCGACATCTAGGTAACGAAAATCCTCGCTCTAGGGCCTCCCTGATCTTCCATCTGCTCCTTCTCGCCTCAAATGAGGTATCTTGTACATTTTTTGCTTTTATCTGAAAAGAGATATATGGTATTTCTATGATAGAGAGAAATTTTTCATTTCTCTGAGAGGAGATATATGGTATTCATTAGATTTCAGCAGATTGCAAATAGAGGGAATTTTTTTCTTGCTTTCATTCTCGCATCTCCCTTCGCATTACTGTTTCCTTCTTCCCCTCTCTGATATTCTTAGATTTTTACAAATAGAGAAATCTCTATTGGCATTTTTCTGCTACAAATTTATGGTTTCCATATAAATACCTGTATGTCTCTCGTTGGGATTATGTTTTTGGAGCTTGATTAGAATTTACAGTTGAGTTTGCAATAATTTCTAGGAATTCCTTTTTCGATAGTCTATTGTTCTGTAGAGGCGAAATTGGATTCTCGAATGTTTGCTACAGTTCTTGGTTTATGGTTTTGCAGCATAATTGGATCTGTTACTCTATTGATTTTTTCGAATTCCTGGAAAGTTTTGGTTATGATTTTTTCGAATTGCAACATAATTGATTCTGTTCCTAGATATTCCGAGCGAAATATAGTTTTGATTGCAATGGTTGCTGAAAGATATTTCATATGTTCAGTATTTGATTTTAAAAATTGTACAGTATTGATTACAATGGTAGCTGAAAAAATTTATGGATATTCATTTTCAGTATTGAATTAGCTGCGAAAGTGGGTGTTTCAAATTCACTCAAAAATTGATTTAAAAAATACCTCATATAAATATTCATTACCTGCAGTTAAGGTTTTATGTATTACCTGTACTTTTTACACTTGTTTGGTTTGCTGCAGCCCTTAGTTCTTGGTTTTGCAGCAATTTCTGGTTTAATAGCTGCATTGGATGCAGTTTCTGTTGCAGCAATTTCTGGTTTAATAGTTGCATTGGATGCAGTTTCTGATTTATGTATTTTGCAATAACACTTCATATTGGCTTAGACGCAATTTTTGGTCTACTAGCTACAAGGGATTCAATTTCTGTTTTAATAGCTTCATTGGATGCATTGGTGTGATGCATTTTTCTGGTATACTAGCTAAAATGGATGCAGCTTTTGGTCTTCTTTTTTCGGGTTTAGATTTTTTTTGGAAATGTGCAAGTTCTAAGAGGAGAAAGAATGCATAGGAGAAAAGAGTTAAAAGAAATTTTTCGATGATCTTATTTTTTTTTACTTATTCAATATAGTTAAGCTTGATTTGCATTTTTTGAACCTTTAGCCGTTTAAAGAATTTGATTCTATGTGTATCTTTCTTAGCTAACGAGATGAACTTGTTATTGTTATTTCAGGCTTTTATTCCAGCTACCCGATTCCTATGTTATGCCTATGTGATGCATTGTAGGATTTAGCAAATTGTAGGAATTTGCTAATGTTATGCCTATGTGATGCATTTAGCAAATAGAAAAAATGTGACTTTGAAGCACTGTAGGTACAACTGTTCGATATCATTGTTTGAAGCTTTGATGCATTTAGCAAATAGAAAAAATGTGGCTACATTTATATGGCGGCTAGAGATGTATGTATGGCTCGAAACTGTTTTGAATAAATTTAATTTTGGTCCAGCAATAGTATGCAGCCTCTAATAACTTGGAGATGAAAATGTATTGCAGATGAAGGCATGGTGTTATGTTATTGCGTTAAAAATTTCTACATGGCATGTATTAGAAGTTGGATTCCATGACATGGATTAGAAGTTACTTATTACACATGTGTTTGATAGTTGTAATTGTGTTCTCCATGGATAACCATAGCAATGTACTCTAACGTAATTGGATAATAAAACATGTTTCATGTCTTACTGTGGATGTAGATCTTTAACCGAACCACATATCCTTTGTGTAATTTTTTTTTTCTTTTTAGCAAATCTCGACACTACTGTTGGTTAATTATGTGGATGTTGGTTCATAATTTTTTTTTTATTTATTCCACGACAAGTATGGATGTTGATTCATTTTTAGCATAAAGCTATTCTTAATATGTTTTTATTCAGAATAATTACACGACAATGCTGTTGAATCATGTCTAAAGTGGTCGAAGGGGGCCAGTCCGCAATGTGGGACAAAGACGTTACAAATATTTTTTGTGATCTGTGTATTAAAGAAATAGAACTGGGTAACAGACCAACAACGTATTTTAATAAGGAAAGATGGCTAAACATTGACAAGAGATTCAAAGAATTAACTGGCAGGGATTACGACCGGCTTAAATTTAAAAACAAATGGGACCAGTTGAAGAAGGAATGGAAAATATGGAAGGAGTTGAAACGTGGATCTACCGGCCTGGGTTGGGATCCGATTAAAAGGACAATTGATGCTCCAGCTGAATGGTAGGCTGAAAAACTAGAAGTAAATTTATATATAATTCATGAATTGTTAGCTTCGCAAATTATTTTCTCTATTTATAATTTTCTAAATATCCCCTCTAAATGCTATATCACAGGCGGTACCAGCAGCAAAGAAGTACAAACAGTGTGGAATAGAGCCGGAATTTGAAGAGAAACTGGACTTAATGTTTAAATGGGTTGTCGCAATGGAAAAGTTTTCATTCAACCCAACTGAAAGCGGTTTTACAGGGATACCAGATGAGATCACACCTGAGCCAGTGACACCCGATGAAGAAGTCCAAAGCATTAATCAGAGGGATATGGGGGAGTCCAGTACAATTTTAAAGAGGCCAAGGATTGCTAAGAAAAATAAAGAGAATGAACATTCTGTGAACACCTCCTTCGATCGTTTAATTGAAGCTTTTGCAGCTCCACCAATATCTGAAGCTAACATATTAGACTGTCTCAGGCTTTTGGGCATTATTCCTGAAGTTGTGGCTGACAAACGATTTCATGCACAGTGTATGAAAAAACTTAAGGA